CTACCAGCGCAGCCCAGATGTAGTCCAACCGGTCTAGACCGTCCCAGATGCGGCCAGCGAGATCCAAACCGATTTAGTCCAGTCCAGAAGCCCTGATTCATGTCCAAGGCGGTTCTCGAGCAGTCCAAACGGTCCGACTAACCTACTGAAGATCCGAGACAACCCGACGAGCCCGACGAGCAACCGGAGACGCATTGATGAGGTCAAGTTTGGGTGCCCAACGGACTCTGCGGTTCAGACGATCTCCTAAAGAAGAAATCAGAAACGTCTCATAGTCGGCAAAAATTTTAAACTGTAAGTCCTAATATTAACTATAGATTCCGCTGCGTTAGAATTTATTATTCAATATATTTGAATGTGCACATAGCCGACATTTTTAATAGAACCCAACACCTTCATCAGCGGAGATTTCCATGAAGTCTTATGGTTGTCCTCCTCAATGCGAAGATGAACCACGAGGTCTTCAAAGCTTATTTTCGTCCTCTTATGTTTGAGGTAGTTCTTGAAGTCTTTTCAACCCGACGATAGCTTTTCGATCACAACTGCAACTTGGAATGACTCACTCAAAATCATTCTTTCAACATGGATTTCGTGCAAGATGAGTTGGAACTCTCGCACTTGAGACATGAAAGTCTTCGAGTAGACCATCTTGAAGTTAAGAAACTTGCCAACGATGAATTTCTTCGCCCCGGTATCTGTAGTCTTGTACTTCTTCTCCAAGGCAGTCCAAAGCTCATTGGCAGAACCAATCAAGCTGTACACATTGTACAACTCGTTACTCAGTTCGTTCGGGCCATACTTCCAACAAAGGTAATCACCTTGCCCCCAAGCAATGTACGTGGCGCGTAACTCAGTGTTGGTTTCGTTCTCAGCCATAACCGGAGGGTCGTCCTTTTGGTACTTCACCAAACCCAAGATGATTTGGTAGAAGTGCATCTTCTGGATCTTTTGAAGTTAAGCCAGTTGAATTTCTTGGGATTTTCAGCAGTTGGGATATGAACAACATGTACGGGATGATAAAGATGAACACTAGTGTTGATCGGCTGCTACTGCTATTGAATTTGTTGAGTTTGAAAACCTTCTTCGGTGGATGCCATCAGTCAGTAGGTGTGATATTTGTCTTGCGATTGTTATAAACTGAGTGCTTCAATTACAACAGAAAACCTATAAACTGAAGCTGATGTTTGCAGTTCTTACAATTTGAACTATAAAATAGAAAACAAAGTTACAACTTAAGAGCAGACAGATTAAAGCCGAGGCGATTGAAATTTTTTCGCAAGAAAAATACGCCCTGTGCAGTGCTAACGGGTTTGTGCATCTTGTTTCCAAAGATTAGAACTGACGTCTCGAAGGCTGTATCATAACAACTTTCGAGCTCCGGCGAACTTAAACGAAGTCGAGAACTGAGCACACTATGTTATGATGTGTGGGGCTTTTCTGGAGAGTTAGAATGTAGATGTTGTTGTAAATATTTCAGCAACTCTAGACATGTCATATATATATATAAGAATCCCAACCAACAGGGGATGACATCTAGTCTTTAGCCACTTAAGGTATAAAAAAACCAACTAATGGCTGCTTAAAGTGGGCAAAAACTGTCAGGCGGAAAGCCTACCGTTTCTAGGTATTAACACGTCATCAATCCACTTGATACCCACTGAAACGGTCAGCTAGAAGTTCACACATCCAGGTTCACTGAACCTAGACATGTCTCACTCAGGTTGGGTCAAGCCTACAACACATAGTCCAATTGCCAAGGACCAAGGACCAAGACTCAAGTCCCGTGCTCGAGCTGAGCCGACCGATCGGCTGGCCGGCAAGCGCGCGCATGTGGCCGAATCAAACACCATCACTTGATGCATAACTTTGTTGTTGTTGTGAACTCTCCAACTCTGTTTATTATAATAAAGAGAATTAATCTCACTTTATTCAAATGTAGGAAGAACTCTTGACTCTTCGAATCCAAAAACCATCGTTTTACTTGCCCATTTATGACTAACTTTATTCATTTATTTTTCATTCACTGAAATAGTTTTAAGAAAATATATTAACCACGAGTATTTACTCGTAATGCATAATTTTTTACAAAATTTAATTAAACCCGAATAAGATATTTAACTATAAAAAATTAATCAAAATCGGATCAAATCCAAATTTTAATAACTAAGTTTCCAACACTCGCACCACACCATCATTTGATTTTTAAAAGACTATTATAAGTCTACAAAGCTTCATTTACACGGTCAAAGAGTCCAATTAAACTTGGATATATCACTAATTATCTTTTAGTTAAATTTCAAACCACTCCACTAGACGAACACACAATTATCTTGATTGAATTTTTATCCATCACACTCGTCTACCCAAGTCATGTTGGTCTTTGTTGATTGCCGTATGACATAGGATCCAAATCTCTAATTAGATTCTTATTTTTTTTTTCTCTCTCAATTCATATTCAATTACATACTCAAAATTTAATTAAATTTTAATCAAACTCATTACATTAAATATTATCAATATAGTTAAATAATATGAATCAATCATCCATACAAATCACATCAACTTTTGAGTTCATACAATTACATCATTTTAACTAATCATCACTTAATATCACATCTCTCCTATATTTACATCAAATCAATTTTAATTATTTATTTTAAACATTATTTTAATATAACTTAAAATTCTATTAACAACTAACCATACCATATTAATTTTTAAAAATTAATCATAATTAACTAAAAGTAATAATCTTGAACGAATATATCTTTATCAAGCACTCCCGAAGTTAAAATATCTTTATTTCCTTCTTAAGACCTGTACGCATCCATTTTTTTAACTGATTTTTTTTTTAAACAACTGAAGTCTGCAACAATACGCTACCTTATTGCTTTTCTCAATGTGTGCGCAAAAACCTTTCGTTTTTTATTTGGGTTTCTGTACGGCACAGAAGACGAGACATGGAAGAAGTAAAGTACAAGAAACCGGACCATCCCTTTTTAAACCAAAATGGAAGTGGGCCCCACAGGCACTCCTTTCACTTTTCGCTCCGCTCAGGCAATTAGATGGCCATGGGCCCTTTGAAATCAGATGGGCCCATATCTACCGGTGGCTACGGCTCCCAACAGACTTCTTATATGGAGAGCTTTCAAGCTTTTTTTATTTTTTATTTTTTTATTTTCAAGTACAATTGGTATGTCGAGCTTTTCTAAACTCATCTCTCACAGTTACCGTCTCCATGTTTGAACAATTGAATAATTAATTTTATAAATTATAAGTTCTCTTTGTATACTGTATACTAACTTTTCTAACAAATATTTATAGAAGTAAAACAAATAGATTGTTTTTAAGTAAATTTTATGTTTTATAAAGTCTTAATACTATAATCTCTTATCATAAATATTTACTACATAAACTTTGAGCTCTCAAATTAGAAGGAAATATTATTGATTATTGTGCTTGACCGTGCCAATTAATTTTATAAGAACACGCAAGTATGTGAGATAAATGTTTATGTCCTTAAAATCATGAAGAGTTAATTGTACATCTGAAAACTAAAAGGAACAATTGTGCTTAGTGAAATTATACGGATATGATTAATATAAAGTTGAAAATGATTAAACAAGTACCTAAAAGTAGAATGTTGTGTTATCCTTAAAAATCATGAACGGTAAATACTGTTTATTTAACAAAAAAAAAAATACACATCAATTAGCAAAATTCAATTGAACATCATAATGCGCAACATGTATCATATAATAATCATGACCCAACATAGCAAAACCAATAAATTGTAGGTAATTAAATTTGCACAGAGAGGTAGCATGAAAAGGGGAAAATTAAATAAAATCAATCTGTGTATATATTTTTCATTTTTCTTGAAAAAGAGAAATTAACAACAAAACAAGAAAGAAGAAAAGGAAAGAAAAAGTGAAGGAAGGAACCAATTGCTTTTTTAGGCCCTACTTTGCTTGTTGTTTTCATTGTGTACATGATTTTTCAATGTGACTTATGGTTTGGCAACTTCTGGTTTTCTATGAATTAATTCTTCGTTAAATTCAACTCAACTTCAACTTCATTTTTTTTCATGCAAAGATAAACATATTAACTATCGAATTCGCGATGGTTATAATCATATATAACTCCATAAATCTGATCACTTGGAATATCATAACCAAGATTACATAAAGAAGGAAAGGGCTAAAGATCATACAATTAGAACTTCAATTTTTGACAATTCAAATGATGCTCTTATAACACAATAAATATTATAAATAAAAATATGTACTTATGTTATAAAATATTGTACATGTTTTTATTTTTTTCTTAATTATGATATCTATATATATATAATTGCTAGCAATGAATTTAATAAAACTCATTTTGTTTTCCCGCCCTTTTTCGTTACTTTTGCATTAACAAAGCAATTATATTTTTTATTTATTTTATTATATAATTGCTGCTATTAAATAATTTTAGAATCACATTAAATGTACTCTTTCCATAGCTTTTTTCAAACATTAACTCATTAAGCGAGCTTTTTTTTATTAAATTTAGTTAATTATTATAAACTTTCGTACACAATTGCTATAAATAATAGTTTTAATATTTTTTATCTAATTAGTTTGTCATACTTAGCCAAGATTGTATCAATATAAAAATTAATACGTAAGTTAAATAGTTTAAATGTATATTGTTTATTTTTCCTAACGATAAATTTTATAAAATGTGGTGTACTTATTATCTAACTTACGATTTTAAATATTACACATAATTCAAAAAATTTTATTTGCATATGTGCATATACACACGATCGAATACTAATTTTAATATGAAAATTGGACATTGTTAAATGGGTAGGTCTCCATTTATTTAGCCTCCACGCAGAAATTGTTCCTCATGCAGCAGAAGTTGTACCTTCTTATTTCCTTTGAGCATTAATTACTGTCACAATCTTGAGTGCATTACAAAAAGGGAAAGAGACAAAAGGGGAACACATAATGCTCTCCTGTCTCGTTATCATGCGCCCTTTGACACTTTTAGAGAGAGAGAAAAAGAGATGAAGAGGGAGAGGCTCTCTGTTTGATCAGTACAAGACTCGCGTTCGAGACACACAGCGATCAATGTCGGTTCTTTAATATCACGACTCTCCCAAAAATCGATTCCCACACAGATTATTGCTTTGATTATTCAGTTTTGCCTTTTTTCTTTGTGGATTATTCGATTGATTGACATGAATCAAGTGTGGTTGCTGTAATTTCCGTCGCTTGAGCTTGATGCATTCGTAGTAATGCGGTTATTGATTGTGATATCTGTTTTTACCTTGTTCAATTTGCTTGCGATCTGTTCAATTTTCAAATTGCATGTTGTGTTTTTGCTTTCTTTGTTTGTGTTTTATGTTTGTTTGTTTGTTTTTTTTTTAATTAAATATAAACAATTCTAGAAAAAAATATTTTGAATGGAATGAATGTTGTCTTTGAAATTGTTTTGATGTTTCTCCTGTTCATCATATATTACTATCTTTCTTTGTGTGATTGCGTAAATTACTGGGGTTTTAAGTGTTTGATAATCTCCTTATCTGGGAATGAATTATCTTTAATCGACTTGGAGTTACTTTGCTATTCTGTTTCTGCTGTATTTATGCATATGTTTTCCACCTTGCACGACGCTTGAACATACTATTCGTTGCAGGTGAAGGAGAGTGCTGGATTTTGGCAATTTAGTGTTTTCTTGGCTCAAAATATTGCAAAGTACTGGTGAGTGAAATTAGTTTGTTTTATTGGAACTTTGAATACAATAACTAGTTAATTAATGGTAATACAAAATGCATATTATCTATGATGTTGTCAGATATATTTTCCAAAATGAGCTGGAATCCACAAATGGAAGTTCAATACCAAAACCATTCCATGCCTTATAACTCAATTGGAAGCTTTGTGGATTTTTTCGGAGGACTTACTTACGACCACATGAATTACATTTTTGCAGAAGCAAATTACGTCGAGGTAGTGGTCGAAATTTTGGTTGGGTTCCTTTACAAATTATGTGTATTTCAGCTTTCTTCCCTGACTTTGCTTATAGAGGAATATAAATTTTGCAAAATTTCAGAAAATAAGTTTACTCAACTTTCACCAATCTAGCTTGTGGTTGACTGCGCCAATTGATGTTGAAGGTGGCTTGTGAATGGAGGGAACAAACTAATAAATTAATACTACATGTTTGGGGACTTGACTGGTTCCTTTTAAGTTGCATTCTAGTTTATGGGATGAGCTGTTCTGAGTGTGATGGATATGTAATCAAACATTATTTGAATCCCTTGACATTTGAGTTTGATCAGCCAGTTCTGTTAAAAATTGTTTTGGAGCACTTGTGCTAGATATGTAGCTGATGTAATCGTGTGCGCAATAGTGTTGCCTTTGTAATAAGTAACATTTCGGCCCGTCTATTCTAAATTGGCACTTGGAAACTATATGTTTTTTGTAAAAAAAATTGCTCGTTGATTAAAAACGTGAGTATATGTGCAGGGGAATGCTTACAGTGCCTATCCAGCAACAAATACAAGTTTATATAAATTTGCAGTATCTGAACCTGAAAGTTTCTCATACTATGAGTATGGGAATGGCTACATGGTTGATAATGAATATAGCGGGCATTTGGAGAATCTCTCACTGGTGGGTGATGATCGGGGCACTGTTTCGCATGTACACCAGGAACGAAATTCAATTACCAGTACTCATGCTCGTCCAGTAGAGTGTAAGATTGTGTGTGTGTATATATATATATAATTCTATTTATTGCGTCTTTGCAGTTTGCAGTGGTTTACCACTTTTTAATGCTTTAACTTCGCCAGTATGATCTTACTTTTTAGATGTATGGTATGACGTTCCTATAAACGAATAGCTGAGACACTTTAGTTGGTTCTACATGTGTTGGATCTATTTTCTTATATTAGTGTATCGAGATAAATGGTTATTAGTACAATAGACTAAAGATGATTTGAAAAGTACTGGTGTTGTTTGTTTCCCTAATATTTTTTCTAGTATGGTGCTGCCATTTGCTGATATACACTGCATTTTAATCATCTTGAATTTTTTTTTTCTTTTCTTACCTGCAATTGTAGGTCCTCGGAATCACCAAGATGCTCGTGGCAGTGAGGTAATATAATATCCTTTTTTGCCTAGAGCTTTCCAGGTTTATGGGTATTACCTTTCCAATTTTGAGGTTTCTTGTGTTACTTGCCTTATGATCATTGCAGGTGGCTTGGCAAGACAACATTGACCCTGACAACATGACATATGAGGTTTTGGAAATCTAATCTTATATTATAATCTTATCTATTAAACATTCCTNAAAAAAAAAAAAAAAAAGAAACTATATCACAATTGGTTAGTCGATCTTATATACAAGTTCGCTGGTAGAAAACTGCTGAGCGTATTAGATATATAAAGTTACATATATGTGGGTGCTAGTCTCTTCCTCATAAGATGTATAACATCCCAAATCCCCAAGTATTCATAATGTATGTAGCCTTGTCCCTCGGCTCATGGTTTACGGACCACGACACTTTAGACATGAGTTGCCAAATTTCTTCAGTTGATTTTAACCTTAATAGCCATATCATCATGTTCAGTAGATATGAATCCAAAATCTTTACTTCGTCGATTGAGGCCATATATCCGCTGCATCAGCATACCTGCCTGTAGTATTGCTATTTTTATGATTGTAAAGAGACATTTAAAGTTTGATGAATTCAGATTTCTTGTGCTGGCATCAACCAATCAAAATATGCTTGCCTATCAGGTATTACTGCTTCCTGGACGGTTCAAGGAATCAGCAATGTCCATACGTATTTGGTTTAGTTAAGGTTCAGAGTTTTCAAAATTAGATATTGCTGGAGGCTTTTGTTTTTCCCTCATACCTTTCGTTTCATTATACTCTCCTTTCCATGCAATCTTCCAAACGTACTACTCTTTCTCAATCTACTATTCTGGTCAATCAATCTCTTGATTGAGGGGAGGGCTGTAGGATTCAGACATGACCTGGGCAGTTAATTTATGAAAAAATTAACAGAACTCTACTAACATGCCTCCTAAACAAGAGGAAGTGAAGTGCTGATGATGCTCGCTTATATGATGGTCTGTAGAAGCAGCCTGAGGTCCTTCAATTATTACAGATTCATCATTTCTTGAAGTTGAGGTTTGGGTTGAACTTGGGTTGACTTTTCCTACCTGAACCAAAAACTATACAAATTTCGAACAGCTTCTGAAGCTTGAAAACCAAAGAAGACCAAGAAATTAGGGACTGCTGAGTGTTGGTTGATGGCCGCCCCTTGTTGTGTGTTTTCATTATTATGGTTTTTGGCAGTTGATTGAATATGTGAATTGGCTCTTTCTGCTTTGTCTATATTTTACTCTAAATTCATTTAACTGATTCAGGTGTAAATGCTATATATTTGTTTATCTTCAACAAAATGTTACGAATCCTGATACAACTAGCTAGTTAACTGGGGGTTATGGGTTTGTTGAGTGATTGTTCTGTAATGATATGTAGTAATTCAGTCGAATTTACAGGAGTTACTTGAGCTAGGCGAGGCAGTTGGAACTCAAAGTAGGGGTCTATCTCAAGATCAAATCGCATTGCTTCCAACGTCAAAATTCAAGTGTGGGTTCTTCTCTAGAAAAAAAATTAAAGAGAGGTAATTTTAGCTTTAAAATCTGGATGCTACCTTTCCCTTTAGGTTAAGTAGATTGTAATTTATTTTGAGTAATATGTTTGAATAGTGTGCTGGTATTCCCCAGATTTTCCTATTCGCAAACATTTGGCACTTAAAGTTCAATTTCCCGTTTTTAATCATGATTTATTTTATTTCTTTGGTTGGGATTGGAAAGGTGCGTGATTTGCCAGATGGAGTACAAAAGAGGTGACAAGCGTATGACTCTCCCGTGCAAACATCTCTACCATACCAGTTGTGGGAGAAAATGGCTTAGCATCAATAAAGTAAGTCGCTAAACTTTTTCGTATTTGAGAACTCTCGAACATATAATTACTTTGCTGACAATCTTAACATAAACCAGGCTTGTCCGATATGTTACAAGGAGGTGGTGGTTGATGTCCCGAAGCACTGAATCATACTTTTCTCAGTATAGGTTCCAATTTTTATTTAAGGTTCTCAACAACTCTGTGCATTTGTTTTCTATACCTAGTTTTCCTTTCTGCTGCATTTATGTTATTAGAAGATTTATGTCCTAATAAAGGATTGATTGCATCTCTTTGTTAGGAGAATATTAACTTCAATCTCATATGGCTTTTTCATACTGAGAATTGGTTCAGGATTTCTGTTGGGTTTCCTCGTCCATTTCCTCTCTTTTTCTTTACCATTGACGCAAGGCTAGAGAACAAAAGATTTCGATTAACCTCACTTCCCATGCTTATGCAGTATTTTGTCACATCTTAATGTTAAACTACAATGATAAGTATGGTTTTGACAATTTTAACTCAGTAATTTTATGATGCCACAGTTATAAAAGCAATGGCTGTCGATGAACATATCAAAGAAGCCAATGCTTAATGTGTGAAAATAGATCATTAGTTGGCTGCAGAAATAGTGAGTGTTTTTACATCAAGAATTAGTTACCCTCGACCCATAATGAAGAGAGGAGAAAGAAATAAAAAAAAATAAAATAAAAATAAAACAATATATAGAAATCAATCTTCATAATCTGGCCAATCTGGTTAGGACGTTATCTAACCTTCCTACTATGAAGAATTCAAATTTGTATTATTAGAAAAGAAATTCTAAAGAATTCAATAAAACCCATTATTGACAAAGTTGAAAACCCATTATTATTAGGTCATTTCCTGCGACCTAGCACTCGCGAACTGATTGAGGAGTTAGAACTGATTGAGAAAACTCCTCGAAGTCCTTGACTGACCTCAGGGTGAGCTGGGGAAACCAATCCTCTGCCCCTCCGCGCAAGGCCGCCAAGAATGCCCTGCAACTCACAACATCTTAATAACCATGTAGAACAATCATGTTTTCAAACGACCTCAAGTGACGAGCTGAATTTGTAGACCAGTCATAGGTGATGCTGAGCTCTCGGAATCCATTTGGTAGTTCGGAGTCTAAGATCCTCTAGGCAAATGGATGTCCACGAGCTCTACTTTTTTTTTTTTTTCTTTTGAACTTCTCCTGTAATTCCCTAATCTATTCCGCCATTCTCTCCACTACAGGGTTACTGCGTTCGAAATTTGTTGCTGGGCACACCTTGCTACAACGACATCGACTATCATCTTGTTCAGCTCCTCCTTCGTCAGTGTGACGACCTGTTGGCCGGCCTGTAGATGGCACTCCACCAACAGGTGGTCCCATTGGCTCGACCTTATCCAGATTTGGCTCTGCTAGATGTACAAGAACGACCTCTGCACCTCCTAAGTGGTTGATCTACCCTCCAACTTATAATGGAGTCGTTGATGAACTCGATACACTAAATAGATAGATGGGTCGTCGGGGTCACCGAAGTCTGGCTCGACCTTGAGAAGCCCGACAGTGGGCCAACTCCCAATAGTTGATTTGGAGACCCAAACCTCATCAATGGTGGGCTCTAGAATTGTCCTGGAATTGTCGCTCGCCATGAACAATGGTGATTTGATGTCTTTTCGAATAAAAGTCCCACAGACGACGCCAAAATGGTGTGCAAAAAGACATTGATCGGGTTCGCACGACCTAGATCTACTTTTTAACCTGTTCGAAGACCTGCAAAATGGGTCGGGAGGGGTTCCCATTATTAGCACTCTGACAATCAAGTCAGTCCACAATGATGAAGAAGATGATGAATAGTAACAATGTAGCTTATGAGTATATAGAGTGTGTAGAGTTTGTATTGTCATACCCCACCTTTTTATATAAGGGTGGTGTCTTGTTGCCCAATCCTACCTAGATGGGCTGCCCAAGTCCCCGAACTGCCCGTTTGTACTGCCGAGTGCCCGAACTACCCGATTCTGTTAGGCCATGTGGCCCAATCCACGTGTGGTTCTTATTCTAATAATATTCTTTCTTATCTCTTAGTATGCCATATTGGATGTTCTAATCGTACGACCATCTCGACTTCCATCGAGCTAGATTATCTCCTCATTGTGATCTTGTACTGTTCTTCAGGTCGATCCATCGACCTGCATACTTCCAGGTCGAGTTTCTACTAGGCCATCTGAGGACCCTAGCTCGACCTGTTGGCCAGCCCATCTACATGAGTTGTCACAGTCTACCTGATGCCTCTTTGACCTATGGTACTTTAGATCCGATCAACCCGTCGGTTCACCTAGTTTGGTTAGACCCCTTCTCGAGTCCAGTTGGCCTGGTATGGTATCCTATATCAAAATGTATTTACATTTCTAACTGCCACACGCCCATAGTGTTAAAATTCAGCACTCGCTAGCCGGTTGATCGATTCGCTATCTAGTGAACAACATTTTGACATGAATGTTGACACTAGCTTGCGGGCTGCTCCGCCAGCTCGCAGACAAATGAGCTCGCTGACACTTGCTGGGTGGTGGGTCATGTTTTATTCCTTTTTGACCCATAAGGCCGGGCCGATTCACGGGTCGGAAGATGGGTCGT